TCTCTCTCTCCCTCTCCCTCTCTCTCTTGGAAGGGTTGGATTATAATGTGATAATTGCTGTGAATACCTGCAAATTGTTGTCCTGTTTTCTTCTTGTGTGTACCAGCTAATTGTCAACTCAAGGTGCTTGCTAATTGATATTTTTGGTTAGGAATGTGGTGCTAAAGGTCCTCGACCAAGGTACCCTCGGGTATGGAAAACCAAAAAGAAGATAGGGACAATTTCAAAATCCCTGAAGCTCGTTGAATGTGTAAGCTCCACTATCCAGCTGTGTCAATGTCTAATTCTAGGATAAAAGTGGCGGATGATTTCAAAAACGATAATTAGGCTGACTTGATTACTAATCTACCGTTGCCTTTTTTTAAGGTATTATTGTACTTGTGTTTTTCTTACGAAATTCCCTTTCATTGACGGTGCAAATCGTAAATAGATGAGTGTATTTGTAGTATTGGAAAATTGCTAGGATTTCTTTGGGATTAGGCTAAATCCCAGGGTATTTTCGTAAATAATTCCAACGAGAGGCAACTTCGTTCGATATGCTTGAATTTGTTCCCTTTGCTCGAGAATGATGAATTGAATACGAACTTGATTTATTTCTACTATCCTTACTAGATTAAGGGATTATCAAATGTGAAAGTTGAAGTGTATGGTGCCCTTGATTCCTTCATTGCCTGGGAATTAGAGTTTCCGTTGATTACAGTGAAGAAAGCTATAAAAAGCCTCGAGCATGAAAAGGAGTGGAAGAGGATAATTCAGGTACACACACACACATCTTCATTGTATATCTAACTTTCGTCAATTTAGAGTGAATATAAGTGATATTATCTTGCACATTGCATAAGACAGGTGACAAAATGGATGCTAAGCAAGGGACAAGGAAGAACTATGGGGAGCTATTACATTTTGCTGAATGCTTTGGCCGAGGATGGGCGGCTTGACGAGGCTGAGGAGCTTTGGCAAACATTGTTTTCTCAGAACTTGGAAAGTATGTCTCGTATGTTCTTCGAGAAAATGATTTCTGTGTACAGTCAAAATGAAATGCATGACAAGATGTTTGAGGTATAACATTCCCTGCTCTAATGATGTTGCATATTATACTCTTTCCCTTTTTTTCTAATCTAACAATTCACTTCTTTTCTCAATTGGAAATTGGCCTTGCTCTTTCTTTCTTTATTTAGTTTCTTTTTCTTTGTTTCTCCCAAACTGTGGAGGGCATTTCATATTATTCTAAGGACATCTTGAATTGTAGCCTGATTCCTCATAGGAGTCACTGTCTTCCAAAATTATAAATACACCATTGACTTCAATTTCTCTTTCTGTAAAATTGCAACCTCAAGAGAGGTTATTAGTTAAAATCCTCAGGAGGGTGTTAATGTTGAAAGAAACCCGAGTTTATTTAAGTTGCTATAACTCAGGGGAAACCCGTTACTATTTTGGGGGATTAATTACACAATAACCTTCTGAGTTTTAGTCTTATTATTAAAAAAAAAATGAACATTGATAATACAAAATACATTGAGGTTTGCATTTAGTTTACAGGTTAGGCCCGTTTTAACCCCTTTCGAGTGTGCACTTTTTGTAGCATAGGTAAAAGCATCTAGGGGTCTAATTTTAAGACATTAGTGGAAGTTTTGTAATTAAGCTAGAGACAAGGTGTATTTTCCATCTTTATCTGATTTTAATATTTATCTTTTTTTTACGGCTCATATTGTATTGCTCACACATACGGTGACCTGTAGATATTTGCGGACATGGCAGAGCTTGGAATCCAGCCGACTGTGCCAATAGTCACCATGGTCGGTGATGTTTTCAAGAAGCTCGACATGTTGGACAAATACAAGAAATTACGGAATAAATATCCCCCGCCCCGGTACATCAAGGGTAAGCGCGTGAAAGTAAAGATGCAGTATGATGATCAAAACGAGATTGACAATAGTGAGATAAAGGGTTCTGATGTGATCAATGGTGGTGAGTCATTGAAACTGCATGAAAATGGTGAGGTAAGTGATTGTGATTGTGCTAAGGAGGATAAATTGTATCTGCCTGAAAATATTGATTCCAATGTAACAGATTGACTATTTTGTGTAATCATCTGTGGCTTCCAATTTATTTTTACAATTTATTTATTTTATTTTTTTATTTATTTTATTTTTTTGGTTTCATTTTTACAAATTTGTTGCAGTTGTCCTGAATGCAATTAGTAATATTATGAGCTATTCATTAGTAATATGTTGTAAATTTGAATTTGAATATGCTTACGAGTTCTACCTTGTTCTGCACTCACTTTCTCTTTTTCTTTTTTTTTTTTCCACCTAATTATATTGGACGTGTTTTATTATCTTCTGGGCTTGTTTGTTTCATGGGATTAGATAAGATTACCCCACGAATCCCGGGATATCTTGTGTTTGGTAGCCATGACCCCGGCCCGGACCTCAAGATTAAATTCGGCACGGGATAAAAAGCTAAGTGGGTGCTTGTTAATAATTTTTTTTTTCTAAAAAAAATTTAATTTCAACTTAGATTTAACTCAACTTCACTATCTGTGATATTATTAATATAATTAAATAATATCAATCAGTCGTTTATACATATGAAATCAACTTTAATTTACAATCAACTCATATAATATTAACTACTTATCACATTCAATCACATCTCTTCTATTTCTATATCAAATCAACTCTACCATTCCATTTTAATGCAAACTCAAAATTTCATTCATACTTTACTCAACCAACTTTTTTACAATTAACTAGTACAGAGCTCGTGCGATGCACGAGGTGCACAATTTTAAGGTCATATATCCAGTCTTATAATTATATAAATGAATAAAAAAGATGTACGGGATATATATAGTACGTGAACTGTGCCACGAGATATATTCATTTGAGGAGTATTATAATTTAATATGCAATATTCAATAAAAGTTGTACAATGCACAGGAAAATTGTACAATAAAATAGTATTGAAAAAAGAAACAATCATATATTATTAAAAGACCTCCTTGTACACAACATTATGAGTTTGATTATCATGTAACTCCTCATTCTCACAAACTAATATCTTCAACCTCCTTCTATTAGTCACACGCGAAACAACAACATATAATTGACCATGACTAAAGACAGACTTCTTTAG